GCAATAGAGTGAGACAGTCTTTCATGGGTTTATGCCCAGGTAAAGAGGCTTCATCTCTGGTGATGAATGTTCTTTTGGGCACTTTCTTCCAAAACAGCCCAGTTTCGTCCACATTGAACACTTGCTGTGGAAGATAATTTTCTTCATCCAGCAGTTTGTTAAAGTCCACTACAAACTTTGCTGCTCCTTCTTTATCTGCACTTGCAGCCTCACCATGTCTAATAACACTGAAAATGTCACTTCTTTTCTTACATTTTTCAAACCAACCCTTGCTTGCCCGAAAATCTTCGAACTCTGTTTCAGAAGAACCAGGTTGATCTGCCTTTAAATGTTCGTAAATCTCCCTGGCCCTTTCACAAATAAATTTTGTAGAAACTGAATCACCTTTCATTTGCTTTTCCCTGATCCAAATGAGAAGTAACCTCTCTGTTTCTAATATCAACTTGTCTTTCTGTGCAAGAATTGTTGACACAGTTGATGCCGACATGTCATAGTCTTTACTAAGCACATTTGTTCTAATGCCTTGTTCATGTTTCTTTATGATTTCCTGCTTTACCTGGATTTAAATAACTTTTCTCGATTTCTTGGGAGCCATGCTGGATTCGATTTCAACACTGAAATTTTAAGTTTTATTGCTGTAAATAAAGAAAATTTTCTTGAAATGAACACTGCACTGCGCTATGTATTATCAATATGTAAAATATATTTCAAAATGACCAATAATTTGACTGGAAACACAGACAAAAAGCATTTATGTTGAAGAGTCTCCAACAAGATGTTCCTTCCTCTGAACCGATAAACAAACTGACGCCAAGCTTGGTGTGTTGAGTGGCTGTTTGGCGCGCAAAAAACTAGTTTCCTGTACTGTACTTCAATTATGTTCAATAATAGTTAAAATGACTAAAAAATTGTATATAAAACTTTTAAAATTATTAAATAGTACAACCTTCCTGATATTTACTAAAATGGTAATGAATTTAAGCCCTAGAACCGATTACTGTACTGTATTGGCAGACTAATACTACAGCTGGTGAGCAGCCAAATGCAAGCGAAAACATGTTGGGAAAAATTCGTAAGGAATTCGTGAACCGAAATTTTTTCGTTAACCAAAGTGAAGAATCTTATGGAAGGTAATTCTTTAACCAAAATTTCGTTAACTGAGGCGTTCGTTAACCGAGGGATCACTGTATACTACTTGGACTCCCTTAAAATCACTTTATCTTCATGATAGGTAAGGGTACTGTATAGACCTTAGCAGGAGCCTTGCCTATAAATCACAGACACCTGTTGAAGAGCATCACCCATAAGAGGTGATGTTGCTCTACTGCACAGTACAGTGATCCCTCGGTTAACGAACGCTTCGGTTAACGAATTACCTTCCATAAGAATCTTCAACTCGATTAACGAAAAAAAATTCAGTTAACGAAATCCTTACGAAATCGTGTCAACATGCTTTCGCCTGCTCACCAGCTGGAGTATTAGTCCGCCAATACGGTAATCGGTTTTAGGGCTTAAATTCGTTACCATTTGAGTAAATATCAAGAAGGTTGTACTATTCAATAATTTTCCAAGTCTTTTATTAAAATTATTAGTCATTTTAACAATTATTTAACATAATTGAAGTACAGGGAACTAGTTTTTAGCCACGTGACTCCCCCAGAAGGGCGTCAGTTTGTGTCTCTGCTCAGTGGAGGTAGCATCTTGCTTGAGACTCTCTTGAACATAAACTATTTTTACGTTTATACAGTACAATTATTGGTCATTCTGAAATTTATTTTACATATTGACAATATATAATGCAGTGCAGTGCTGATTTAAAGAAAATAATCTTGAATTACACCAGGTGAACTCAAAATTTTATGTGTGAAATGGCGGCATGAAGCATGGGGTGACTTCTCTTCCACCCCCACTGCCTTCTCTTCTCCCTTCTCCTCCACCCCCACTTCTAATTCCCATCATCATCAACCAGGAGCCCTCTACATGCACATCTCAAAGTTAGTGTACTTTACTGCATTTATTTTTAGTTTGTATGTAATTTTCGGTGAGCTGGAACCAAGTACCCAAAATCCCATTGAAACAATGGTTTCGGTTAACAAAATTTTCGGTTAACGAACGACCTTCTGGAACGAATTGTGTTCGTTACCCAAGGGACCACTGTATACAGTCAGCCCTTAACATACGCGGGGGTTAGGTAACAGAGATACCGTGAATGTTAAAAATCCATGTACTTTTGCTGCCCCCCCCCCCCTTAAAAACACCCCTGGCCCCCGATGTCCTTATTTACCGTATATACCTGTGTGTAGTTCGAGTTTTTAAGACCAAATTTTTTGGCAAAAAATTGGGGGTCGACCTCTAAACGAGTAATAGTTTCGTTAGATTGAAAAATATTTACCAGTAACTACCAGTAAACAATGGAAACGACGCACCACCAGCTGTGAGTGTCGGTACAGTTGCCAGGGCAGATCTCTTGCGTCATCATAGCAAGCCCAAAGTAGCCAAATGCATGGTATGGTATGCACAGGACGATGTAAAACAGAATGTATTCATTTTATAAAGTTTATTTATAGATACATAAATTTTTGTTCATTACATTTGAAACATCAATCTTTGTTAATTAAATTTGAAACAAAAGAAAACTACGATACCGTATTTCTAAATACCGGGTATTTTCATTAAAATATTACATCACAAGTATATTTTACCTTAACTGTGACTGAATGAATATATTCTCAGAAATAAATACGAAAATGTAATATTTTTGCTGAAATGACGTACGTATTACAGTGGAAAGTGGGATAAAATCATGACGAAAACAATGACTTTCGCTTTCTTTCGTTGTTCAAAAGATTTTACCGTGATCGCTTTTCGAATGGTTTTCAGTTAAAAAATGTTGTATTACAATAATATTCTATCCTAATTGACTTGAATAAATACTACGATACCATATTTCTGAATATTTTCATGAAAATCCATCAAAATAATTTTCCTTGTCATCGTCTTAGCACACAGTTGCCAGTTTCAAGATTTTCCGTTTAAAATTTTAAGTTACTGAGTATTTCTTTTCCCAAATCGTTTAACAATACTGTAGGTAAAACAGTTTACTATTGTGCAAACCCCACAGAAAAAAAATTAACAAATGGAGACACCAAAAATGTAAAAAAAAAAATGCTGTGTCTGACTTGCAACACTGTTGGTCGGGTCAGGTGGTTCTAACGGCACCTACCAGTACCCGGTAATCAAATTTATAACAGTGTCTAACCTCGATTACTGTAGTTTATCTGATGTAGGCAATATGAAGTAAAAAATACCAGTTAAAGTGAGAAATTGGAAGAGAATAAACAAGAAAGATGTCATTGGGCTATTTTTGGTAGGGCTGAGGGAGAGAGTACCAGCTGTTTGGTCTTTTTTGGCGGGAGAGTCACGCAAATAACCGTAGTACTGGTATTTGTTTGGTGTCTTCTGTATTTTTAAAAATGAATACTTGTAAATTAAAAGTACCGTAACATTGTATTATATACAAACTTGTTATATTTCTGGAAATTAAGAAGCAAGAAAATAAGAATATACCGGTAAGCACAATTTCAACGTACGCTAATCTTAAAAGCTGCTGAAGAAGGGCCGATGCAAAAACAAAGCCTCCGTGACCAGGGCTCTGCCGTATCAGCTAGACGTACACGTGTTTTTCGAATCGTTTTCAGTTAAAAAACTGTTGCATCACAAGTGAATTAGGATAGAATATTATTGTAATACAACAGTTTTTTAACTGAAAACCATTCGAAAAGCGATTACGGTAACATCTTTTGAACGAAAGAAAGCGAAAGTAATTGCTTTCGTCACGATTTTATCCCACTTTTCACTGTAGTACATACATCATTTCAGCAAAAATATTACATATCCATGTTCTCAGAAATAAACAGTAGTTTTGCTGGAACGTAATGTATTTCAATGTAAATTAGGATAAACTACATGAAAACAAAAGACTTTACCTAACCTTCCGATGTTCAAGATATGTTACTCGTTTTTTTAATAGTTTTCGGTTAAAATACTGTTATATTAGTGATATTCTATTCATACTGTGCTTGATATAATACATTCACGGAAATGTAATATTTTTGCTGAAATGACGTACTTATTACAGTGGAAAGTGGGATAAAATCGTGACGAAAGCAATGACTCGCTTTCTTTCGTTCAAAAGATGTTACCGTAATCGCTTTTCGAATGGTTTTCAGTTAAAAAACTGTTGTATTACAATAATATTCCCTCCTAATTGACTTGAATAAATACTTGAATGGAAATATACAATATTTTTGTTGAAACTACCCGCGTTTCAGTGTAAAGTGTCGTAATAATAATTGGTAAACAATTTGCCTTCGGCACTCGGTGTTTCAGGCACGGTGCGCCTCAGTTTATAGGACGTGAAGGTTTTGGTGTTCCAATACTGTACCCTCAAAAACTTGGGTCGACCTATAAACAAGGAATATCATAAATTAACGATTTTTTGGTCAAAAAATCAGGGTCGACCTACAATGCTGATGTCAACACAAGTGTGGTTACAGCGAGACTGACTGAGTGAGGGAGCACGGGGTGGTGTGACGCGCGATGCGTGTATGTGTATGTGTGTGGGTTGGCGGGCGGTGTGCAGTGTGCTGTGCCGCGCGCGATTTGAATGGCGCGCAATTTGAATGTACTTCAATTACTAAAATGTACAGAATATTCCTCCGGCGGGGCAATCCGCATATTTGCGTATCCGTGTATGGTAAACCCGCATATGTTAAGGGCCGACTGTATATGTAATAATAACCATTATTCCCTTACCAAAATTATTTCATTTTCTGTTTGGAACCATATTTATTTTTTGTTTTGCCATTCAGTAAAATAAATTAAGACGACCTTAAGTGACTGACCCAATTTTCTCCTCAATACAGTACATGATAACACAGTTAGTCTCTTTTATTGTGTCTCCCCCTTATTTTAACTGGTGCATCTTTAATCATTTCCAGGTTGTGTATGTACCAGGACAACTCAGCCAGAATCATAGTTAATACTAGGATGGTGTGTAGCTGTGGTTTGCTAGCGTCTGGTGTAATGGAAGAGAACTCAGTTTAGAACAGTGAACAATAAACAAGCAGGTGGTGGAGTAGGAAGAAGAGAGTGAAAAGTCTTCCACAGTGTTACGTCCTCTAGTGTAGTCAACGGAAGGAGAGGTACACTGGTGTGTATTGTTGCAGGAGGACAAACTTCTCCTAACAGGACCTTACTATGACAGCCATAGAGCAAATAAGGGTAAGTAATGCTAATTTAGAGACCAAAGATAGACAGGTTGATGTGTCTCACACTTGAAAGAAACTACACATTGTTTAGCCTCTTGTCACTTAAATATTAAGTTATTGTGAAAATGTTTACCAAGAGGGAAGGATCATTGTGGTAATAATGTTTACAATTTGAGGGAGATGTAGTGTATTTTGGAGGTACAGCACAGTGAACGTTACTGACAGCTATTGTTCAGGATTTATGAAAAAGAATTTGATTCAGTAAAAGTAATAAAGTAACAGTTATAATAATGCTGTAAGGAGCCAGGGAGTTGAAGAAATTGTTCGCTACACAATACCTGTACTGTAGCCGGGTGCACTTTTCATTTATTTAAGCCATCCTGACCCTATTGTAGGTTGCGTGGTGCAAGGCGAGCTCTGAGGGCCTTCATTACTCCAGCTCTCAGATGAACTTGTGACATTGATAACTGCTGTACTGTACTGTTGCTTTATGGAGAAACATCAGCACAAACACAGATTTAAGTATAACTTACAGATTTATACAGTGACCACCATGTGGTGATAGTATTTATCTACAGAGTTGGTGATGTGAGCCAGATGTTAGTAGATATATTCTTAAGAACTACTCAACCTGACCTTATACACTCGGTACTGTACATTATTATCTTGTTATAATCATTACAAACACAGTAAATATAAAGTTAAGTCATCATCCTAAACACCAAGGTTGATCAGAAGTATAATTAAATCATAGCATGGTTGTATTATTTGTCTCTCTTCAGTGACAAACATGTGTAGGTGGGTGGTGTGAGAGTTGAGTGTATGTGTACAAGTATCACACAACATCATCATTGCAGGAGAGAGTGGTGGACCTCTTCAAATTTCGTGATGAGTACTTCAAGACTTATGGTATTGAAGATGCCGCTAATAAAACTCAGCGGGTACAGCAAGAAATACATAAGACAATACAGTTCATAGATGATGTTAAAGGTCTGTATTTCCTCACTGAATTAGTTACCAACTGACTGATCTCCAGAGAGAATTCATTTCATGTGCCTTTACCTGCTTCTTCCTGAGGATTATGACAGTGTCCATGTTATGTGCTTATTTTGGGGTAACATATATTTGATATCTCTCTTTCAGCATGTTACTGATCAATCCTTATGCAATACTGTACAGCCATTTCCTAATTTATGAAAGGGTTCCATTATTGATAATCCTTTCATAAATTCGATCGTATTTTCTCATATACTGTACAGTATTTCCAATATAATAGCTGACATACATTCCTGTGAAAAAACCTTCCCCAAATGTCTTAAAATGCTAGAAAACATGTTTTTAAAGTTTAAAGTGTAAACAATGATTATAAGCCAATAATAAAGATACTAAGTGAAATATATACAGTACTGTACTGTAGAGCGGAAGGTACTGAGAAATTGTGGCGCTGTCTGTGATGCAGTGTATGACTGTGAGGCCCAACTAAGACATAAGGTTTTAGTTTAGTTGTGACACACCGACAGTAAGTCGACTGTACTGTACATTCACCTCCACCCCACTGTAACATTGCCATGTTTTTTTGAAGTAGATTGTGTCATGTTTAGAGAAATACAGAAAATTCAGCTTAGATAAACATTACCCGCCATGACACAAACAAGGAGTGCCTGACGCGTGAACCAATCACAGTGGCCTCTGCATGTGATGTCATGGGCCTAACTGTGCTGATTGGCTGGAGGCTGAGTTCATGCCCCACCAAGGCAGACGCCCGGTTTTGAAACACAGTCTGGTTTGGCAAAGTGACGTAAAGACGTCACCTTCCCACATGGCAGGACATATATGTGTAAGTACCTTCAGGTTTATCTGTTTCACAAAATGTATTGTGATTCATGTGAGCCCTGTTTAACTAGCTAGGAAGGTATGTTTATTGTTTGAAGTATAATTGTCAAACACTAATAGAAAGTATTCAATAAATGCAGTTACCATTACTAAGAGTCATAATTCATCCCTCCCTTATTGAGAAAGGTTGATGTGTTATAAGTGTCTTGGTGGTACAGTACAATAATACAGTGAACCCATTAGTAATAACATAACCTATCACCTGTTTCTCCTAGTGTCTCAATTATCTTAGGTTATTCCTATTCCTAGCTATTCCCTCTCTACCTGTCCTCAGTGTGGGGGAAAGTTGACCAGAGGGAGGGACTACCTGCACCCTTCCTCCCTTCACATTCCCTAGCTACCTTCACTCCTAACCTTCCCTCATCTCACGAGTATAAAGAACAGAGAAAGATTAAGAATAAGAAAAGAGAATTAGAGGATAAAGGAAGAGTAAAAGTAAGTAAATAAATAGAAATAAGAATAAAAGGTAAAATAAAAGCTTTTGTTTTTTCACCACTTTTAACAGTGAAGTTGGTCTCCCCCAAGCAATGTGGCAATGCTGTTAAAGATTCCCATCCAATTGAAAAGTATCAGTGACACTGACACAGTAATTTTATAATGTTACTCATTTTTAGATTCCACACATCTCCCCATCAGGGCAGATAATATGCATAAGGATCCAGCTTCCAAATTAAGGTTAATAGAGATACAATATGAGAATTCTACAAAAGTTTTACTGCCATCAGGCAGAGAGACCATAGTACAGCCGTCCCCTGGGTTACAGAAGAGTTCCGTTCTGAAAAAATCTTTCCGTAGCGCAAAATTCTGTAACACGAAGCAATTTTTCTCATATACTATACAGCTCCTCCCCGACTTACGACGGGGTTAGGGACCGACATCCAGGTCGTAAGTCGAAATGGTCGTAAGTCGGAAATGTTTAAATAACACATAGAAAATCGAAAATGGGGGTTTCTTTTTCTTCTCAGCACCACAAAACTCTCACTTTTGAGCTTGCCAGCCATTTTAAAGTGAATTACAAACGAAAATTTTGTCAGTACACAGCGCAATCACTAACGTCCGGACTCGAAAATACGTAATTTTAAAATTTTTTGGTACAACTGAGGCAGGTCGTAAGTGCGGGTGGACTTAAGTCAAGTAGGTCGTAAGTCGGGGAGGAGCTGTACTGTACTTCTATTATAAAAGTTGATATGTATTCATATGAAAAAATTTTGAGGCCCAAAAAGGTGACACAAGCACATATATGTATGAAATTAGATGGATTTAACCACATAATGAGTCATTCATGATGTGACATGATAATAAGAGAACAAAAGACCCAATTTTTACTTACCCGAAACAATATTGAGTGCTGCAGGAGGTGAGGTGGTGCAATTGGTGTTACTGGGGGGGGGGGGGAGACTCCTGCCTCTCCTTGTAGATCATCCTCATCATCTCCTTGGGCTGCTGGCTGAGGTTTTGGGGCAAAGAACTTGTCCAATGTGGTCTGTCGTTGATGGTACAATTTCTCAATGAACAGATCCTTATATCCCCTCATGGCGTTCTCCAATTCTCTTTTAAACTTGAGGCTGCAATCATGGTCTGGATCATGTGTCTCAGCAGTTTATATCAGATCTTGCAGTTGACTAAGCATTGTGGACAAAACCTTTGTTGACATTTCACAGGATGACACAACTTCTGTACCGGTGTCCTCCTGTTCCTCAGCAGCAGCTCACTCCTCCTCCATTAATAATAGAACCTCATTGGACAGATCCTCTCTGTGTGACACTAACAGCTCTACAACACCAGCCTGGTCTACAATTTCCTGTTGCACCTCATCCAAGGTCTGAACCTGGGGAAAACCTTGGAAAACATGAACACAATCTGGCCAGATGTTCTTCCACACATCATTCATTGTTGTATTTTTCACCTCATCCCAGGAGTCAGCAATGTTGTTTTTAGCATTCTTGGTGTTAAATTGTTTCCAGAAATCTCTAAGTGTTCCTCTCCATCAATTGCAGCATAAGTTGTCTGAATGTCCTGCATAGATAGTAGGCCTTAAAGCTGGCCATCACACCTTGATCCAAAGGCTGTAGCATGGAAGTTGTGTTCTTGGGCAGGTACTCAACCCCGATGTTAGGTGAAAGGTCATTAAGGTTAACAGGGCAGCTGGGAGCATTATCAAGAAGTAACAAGGCTTTGTTGGCAATATTTTGTTGGTTACTGTACCTTTCTACAGCAGGACAGAAGCAGTTAGTAAATCAATCTTGGAAGAGGCTGCCAGTCATCAATGCTTTCGTATTGGAGTGCCATATTACAGGTAACCTGGATTTGTTGCAGCCTTTGAAAACCCTGGAATTTTCTGAGTGGTACACAAACATGGGCTTTAGCTTCAAATCACCTGGTGCATTACCCCCAAACAGGAGAGTCACACGATCTTTGGAAGCCGTTTTCTCCTCAGTTGAAATAAAGGTTCTGGAAGGCATGTACTTCCAAAAGAGGCCAGTTTCATCAACATTATACACCTTCTGTGGTGTGTATCCATCAGCCTCAATTATTGCTTTTAGTTCAGCAGGATAGTTTTTGGCAGCCTCAGTATCAGCACTAGCTGCTTCACCGACCATCGTAATGTTGTGTAGGTTTGAACGTTTATTGAAATGCTCAAACCACCTTTGCTGGCATTAAAGGGCTATTCATCAAAACTAACACCTTCCTCCTGCCTTAAATCTGTGTTGATGGCCACATTTTGCTTGGTATGGTCCTCTATCCACACACTGAGTGAGCATTCCATTTTAATCATTACATCACTTGGATGAAAATAAAGAGTACAGGATGACAGTGGAGTAGCAACTTGAGCACTAGCCCACATTTTCTCTTTGTTATCACAGATTGTTCCGTCAGTGGAGGTAGCCAGGCCTAGAGTTTTGGCAATGTAACTCAGTTTGTCACCTGGTCAAACCTCCTCAACACATCTAATTTTGTCTCTAAGGTAATTCCCTTTTGTGCTCTTTTTAGCACCACTGTTAGTTATTTCCACTCATCTTGAATAAGAATGCACAGTACAACACTTGTAATACAGTCCAGAAAACTGAGGGAAAGCAGAACATAAAAACATAAGAATGGAGGAAACTGCAGTGGGCCTATTGGCCCATACTGAGCAGTCCCATATATAGTACACCCAACCCCTATTGCTCATATATCCATCCAACCTATGTTTGAAGCTATCCATCGTATTTGGGTCAATAATGATGTTTGGTAACTTGTTCCATTCATCCACTACTCTATTTCCAAACCAATGTTTACCTATCGCACCTAAATCTGAATTTGTTGAATTTAAAACCATTGTTATGAGTTCACTCCTGGTTGGATAGTTTGAGTACCTTTGTTATATCCCCTTTGTTTAGCCCTGACTTCCAATTATAAACCTCTATCATATCTCCCCTCACTCTACGTCTCTCGAGGGAGTGCAAATTAAGATGCTTTAAACCTTTCTCTGTGCTCGAGGTTCCTAATGCCCGGGATTAGTCTTGTCATTCTGCTCGGAATTCTTTCCAAGGATTCTATATCCATTCTGTAATACGGTTACCAGAATTGAACTGCGTAATCCAAGTGAGGTCTCACAAGCGCAAGATATAGTTTCAGGATGACCTCTCTAGTTTTGTAACTAACACTCCTTTGTATGAACCCAAGTACTTTATTAGCCTTGTTTCGAGCAAATACACATTGTTTACTTGGCTTAAGATTCCTACTTATCATTACTCCTAAATCTTTCTCGCATTCGGATTTCTCTATGCCATCGTTGTTCATCTGATATCGTGTTTCTCTGTTTTCATCTCCTAGACTAAGTACTTTACATTTGTCCTCATTGAATTTCATCTGCCATTTTTCAGATCATTCAAAAAATTTTTTGGGATAGATCTTCCTGTAGTTTTGCAGAGTCCACGTCAGATTTAATTACTCGCCCTATTTTAGTGTCATCAGCAAATTTACTTATGTTGCTGTCTATGACGATAACTATGTCGTTTATGTATACAGTGGTCCCTCGGTTAACGAACACAATTCGTTCCAGAAGGTCGTTCGTTAACCGAAAATTTCATTAACCGAAACCATTGTTTCAATGG